AAGGGTCAATCTAGGCTGAATGGGATACTGTGTATCATACAGCACCGCAGCAGAAAAACGCAGACACTCGATGAAACAGAGTCCCAATGTACATGTAGTCCCAAAGTCGGAACTGAATTTTGCGTCTTTGCATACCACAGCGACATGTCGAACTATTCACACAAATTGTGGGGATAAAGAAACTAATAAAGTAGTGTCTTTTTTAAAATAATGTAGTTGTTTATACATCCTCATCGACATAACTTAGATCTTTCAAGAAGCGGGCTTCCGGTCCTGCCTGTCAAAGCCTACCTTGGTTGAAACGGATACAATGTCCCAACAGAAAGACAGAGGTACTCGAAAAAAATGTAAGGTTTTTTTAAAAATGAATTAAGACTTCCGAATTTGATTTCTATCTCCGATAGGAATAGCCTAGTTGTGGTAGAGAGCTTTGAGAAAATTTAAAATAACGCAAGTTGAAGAATTCCTCCCTTGGTTTCGATGCCGGGTCCCTTTTTAGAGTAAAGCGTTTCCGGCGTCAGTAAGGCTGCTCAACGTCCAAGTCAACTAACATGGAGAAGTATAACAGAAATGATGACATCCCTCCTTGGGGCGGGGGGGTTGCTTTGTTGGGTTGTTTTTTTGTTGTTGCTTATTTTATTTTTTTATTTTTTTTTTTTAAGGGGTATTCCAGCAGCTGTGGTGTAGTGAAGCTCATAAGGATTTGATCTGCTTGGCAAAAGTTTGAAATACAAATCGTAGTAGGCCCAAGTTATTTTTCTCGATTCTTCCTGGAACAAGTATTTCCAAGTCTCAACTTTGTGCCCAGACAAGACGACGAACTGCTCTGCTCTCGAATTTACATTCAGTGTGTCTAGTGGTGGACATGTTTTAAGCTGCAACAGTAGCAACAATGGCACTGACAACAGCAAAACCACCACCACCTACAGCAACAACTACGGCGACAACACCACAACCACAAAAAACAACAACAAATAAGTTATTATTTTTATCGACCTTCCTGAAATATTTTCCTGTCCAAATATGGCGACGAACTACTCCTTCGAAAT